GGGCCAGCAATCACCTTTGCTAATATGTGCTCTTTGTCAGGATGGCATGCAATTCTCTGGCATGGGTACAGAACATCCCTCTTTTCAATAGTTGGAATATATTTATTATACATGTGCTTTAGCACACTTACATTTTTGGGGAGGGGATACAGATATTGAGCTAGACACGTGCTATAGTATTGAACTACATCTCCAGCATTTTTTTTTTTTTTTTTTTTTTTTTTTTTGGTACTTGGGATTGAACTCAGGACCTTGTGCTTGCAAGGTGGCAGTACCACTGAGCTAAATCCCTTGTCCTTTCCAGCCTTTTAAAAGTTTGTTTTGTGGTAAAATATAATTTTTTTTTGGTACTGGGATCGAAATCAGGACCTAGCACCTGTAAGACAGGCACAGTGCCACTGAGATAAATCCTTGTGCCTCCCTCCCCCGCTTTTTTCTGGGACAGGGTCTCACTATGTAGCCCAGGCTGGCCTCAAACTCAGTGATCCTCCTGCCTCAGCCTCCTGAGTGCTGAAATTACAGAAGTACACCACCACGCCTGGCTCCACCTAAATAATTTTTAAATGCATGACTTGGTAGTGTGAAGTACTACTGCGTAGGCATTGTTGTGCCACCATCACCAACATCTACCCCTATGAAGTTTTCAGCTTCCCCTGATAAAACCCTATATGCATTAAAACACTGACTCTGATTCACTATTCCTACTCCTGTCTGCAACCCCTGGTAACAACCATTCTACTTTCTATGAATTTCACTATTCTAGGTACTGCCTTTAAGCAAAATCATACAATACTTGTCACTCCAAGTGGCTTATGTCACTTTACATAGTGTCTGCTACATTGTTTATCCATGCTATAGCATGAATAAGAAATATTATTTCTTTTTAAGGCTAAATGATATTCCATTGTACACAAATACTTGTACTCTATTTTGTTAATATATGAAGGGTCAATTGTGTTGTTTTTGCCTTATTACATGTGGTTTCATCATATTTTATATTTTGCAGCAATTTATCTTTATTTTTATATGTACTGTTTCTTCATACGAATGGATTAAAACCCAGGAAGAATCATGAACAAATTTTTTTCTTTATTTTTTGGCTACTTATTTATTTTTGGCAACCGAAAAGACTGGGATTTCTGCCCCTTTTCAGTGATAAGTATTTCATTTAAGTCATTTATCTTTTTCCAGTTTTCTTTTCCAAAAGCAAAAACATATTTTCCTGAGACAGTGGTGGTAAACCTTTTAGAGACCAAGTGCCCAAATTGCAACCCAAAACCCACTTATCTTTCACAAAGTGCTGAGACTGAAATTAAACCTGACAATCTGATGCTTGGTTACCAGGTAATTTGGCTCTCATGCTAATAGTGAGGGCTCTGTGTGTCCTGCATGTCAGAGGTTCACCACCACGGTCCTAAGATATGACGATGTCAGTTTGACTTATTTTTATAAGTGATATAAGAGAGCAAACAAAACAATAAGGATTAGATACTTAAAAATTACATAAGGGAAAAATAACTGCACTTCTTCCCTTGCCCAATTCTGAACCATTAACAAGTTAAATAATAAAGACCTCGGCACATGGAGACTAGAAATTTACTTGTATTTCGAACAAAGCTGACTTTTGATGCAGGCAACATGTCCTACCTGAAGGCAGATGGCTTGAATTCTGCACCCAGAATTAGGGAGATCTCCCTAATCATTCTCAAGAGTACTGGCCTGAGATAGACGTGTGTGTGTGTGTGTGTGTGTGTGTGTGTGTGTGTGTGTGTGATCTAACCTGTCTGCACCTTGGCATCCTTCATATTATTTAGTAAAGGCACCTGCCCACCCCAGCTTGTTTTATTTAACCATTCCTTTACTCACTCAGCTCGTTTTACTGAGTGCCTACTTCAGTATGTGCTCACTGAGGACCAGGAGGCTGACCCCACCACACAAACAAGACCAGGACAGGAGATATGGTAAAGCATTCAGAGTATTAGAAAATAAGAAGTAACTCCACAAAGTAGGAAGAGAAGCTGTCTTCAGGATGGCACATGGCCTCAAGGGTCAGGCAGCACCTCACCAGTGTATTAAAATTCTGGTAGCTAGTAGAGGTGTAGCACATAACCAGGTTAGGAAATGCTTAACAAATGAATGAATGATGTACGTGAAAACACTTTATATGACATCAAAGTACCACACAGATTTCAGTCATTATCATTTTGTTAATATGAGATCTACTCTTACTCTGCTTCCCTGGAATATCCACAGGAATATTTAGACAGACCACAGAATCAGGCACAGTGGCACTTGTCTGTCCCAGCCCTCGGGAGGATTGCTGAGTTCCAGGCCAGGTTGTATTTCATAGCAAGACTTTGTCTCAAAAAGCTAAAAAATAACAAAAAAGACAGTAGAGAAAACACTAAGGACTACTCATCTGTACATACTTTGGTCTCTCTTCCTGGTGGTGAGTTTGAAGCAACTAAACATGGGATTGAAAACAGAGGTTAGATGACAAATCCTTCTTTTTCAATGTCTCTGGCCATTTCCACTTCCCTCCAAAGTGCAAGTCAACAAAGCCGATTTTGAAAATAGTGCTAAAAATGACTGTTTATAGGTACTGGAAAGTGAGGGTAATAGTTGATTAAAATGAAGTACTCTATTTCACCTACGCTGGGTAATGGTAACTGGATCTGAAAATGTTCAAGTCGCGTGCTGACATTCACAATTAAATGCTGCACAGTGAAAAAAGGACTCATTGTGTCCATCCAAGCTCTGGGAAGGAATACATGGAAACAGAGCTGACTGATTTAATTCCCAGTACAGGAGACTGAACTCAGGGCCCTTGTGCAAGCTAGGCAAGCACAAAACCACTGAGCTACATCCTCAGCCATTTTCATTGTGAGAGAGAGCTTCACTAAACTGCACAGGGTGGCCTCAAATTTGTGATCCTCCTGCCTCAGCCTCCTAGGTAGCTGGGATTACAGGCATGGCCACTGCACCCAGCTCCGCCATCAGTTTTGAAGCAGAGACTATGCCAGTTATTGGCTGTGACATGTCTCTCTCAATACCTACAAACCTTGTGAGATGGAAATTACAGTCATCATTGGCATCAGGTCATCTTTTAGTGAGGGTCTCTGGGTAGCCAATTGTTTTCATGTATCTGACAACTTCATTTAGTCCTCATTTTTGAAAGATATTCCAAACATATCAATAACACATATACCAATATCCAATTTTAAAGTGCTCAATATGTACTTGAAAAGAATGCATTCTGTCATTAGTTGCTTAATTGTGAGTTAATCTTTTATTAATTGTAAAAGAAACTCATTTAAATGACTAACAGCTTGCAAGATAATTTACCCCCTTGTCTCCTGATCATCTGATCATACAAATGTTCCTTTTTAGTTTTTGTTTTTGCTGCATAAGGGGTTTCTTTACAACAATTTTCTAGTGTCTAATATGCTGTTAATCTCCCTGGGCTTTTTTCAAATCTGCTTAATCACTTTTAAATATCCTGCTTAATATTCTATTATAAACATATTTTATATGTGTATATGTGCTAAATCCAATATTCAAAGGCCTTACAAGTCTAATTCTGTGGTCTTGTTTCTGCTGGTACCCCTTCATGGTACCTCATTCTCCAGATGGTTTTGTAATCTGTGGCCTCAGGTTATGGTAAATTCTTTTGTATGATTTCTGTCAATTTGTATGATAGGCCAGGAGCACCACTAGCCTGGGGTCAATGCAAACTAAAACTGTTTTGAGGTGTTTTTTTTTTTGGTATCAGGGATCGAACTCAGGTCCTTGTGCTTGCAAGGAGGGCAGTGGAACCACTAGGCTAAATCCCTGGCCCTGTTTTGAGTTTTAATATTTAAAATAATTAGTTATTGGTACTGGGGGTTGAATCCAGGGTCTTTCCACTATGCTGCATGCCTTGCCCTGGTTTTATTTTTAGTACTGGGATTGAACTCGGGAACTTGCACTTGCAAGGCAGGCAGAGGAATCACTGAGCTTAATCCCTGGCATCTCACCCTGTTGTTTTGGTTTTTGCTTTTTGCAGGTCTGTGTCGCGAAGCTAGGCTTAAGAGGTCTATTTGTTTTAAGAATCTTTAATTCTTCAAGTAGGTGAGTTACTGCTAAACATCATAATGGAAAACAAATAGTTTTAACTTTGACATAAAGACTTCGCCACTTACTTCTACAAGGTCACTTTTTTATTTTTATTTGAGCCAGGATTTCTCTATGCAGTTCAGGCTGGCCTTGAATTCACTATATAGCCAGGATGGTCCTGAGTGAACTCATGATATGCCTGCCTCAGCCTCCCCAGTGCTGGGATTATAGGTGGGTATCACCACACCTGGCCAAGGTTACTTCTCCTTTTTTTTTTTTTTAATCTCTCATTGAGTTTATTGGTACATTTTAGGTATACAGTACAGTTACATTCATTATTGGGATTTTGTACCTTTACATGACAGGTCTTGGTTCTCATTTTTTCCCATGTCCCTGCCCTCCCAAGTTTATTTCTTTACAGTGATACAGACTTAGGTGAGGCTAAGTTAGTGTGAAAGACATAAAATATATATGCAAAGGCATGAAAACCATATATTTATGCATATAGACATGTCTACGAATCAAATCAGCACTGTTATAAACAGCTCTGTAGAGACTTGGATATATTTGAGCATTTACCCCAAAGGTTCCTGTATTGAATGCTTGGTCCTCACTGCAGAAAGTGTGGACTTCAAGAGGTGGGGCCTAGTAGGTCTCTTGAGGTCATTAGGTCCTCAGCAGGGATGGTGGGAGCCTCCTCCTCCAGCCTCCTTTTGAGGGTATGATCTCTTTCTGCTACACGTTCCTGACATTTGTGATTTCCTTGCCAGATCTCCAATTTTGCTGTTTGGACTTTCAGTCTCCAAAACTGTGAGCTAAATAAATGTATCCTCTTTGTAAAGTAAGCCTGGTTCTGGTATTTTGTTGTAGTGGCAAAAAGAAAAAAAAAAAAAAAAAAAAAAAGGACTAGTGCAAGTACTTTGGTGTCATCAGATATACGGCTATTACACTGTATTTCAAAGCAGTACAGGCACTGAGTGAAAAGAAAAAAGTTAGATGGGAGTTGCCTTAAACCTACCACTAATACTCAGAGATTCTTTTAAATCTATGAATGGACTTTTCTCCATAGAAGGGTATCCCTTAGGTACCATCATACTTAAAAACTAACATTCATTCATATTGTCAGGCATGACGTGAGTTCTTCACAAACAAATGGGACAAAGCAAGCCAACAGGCTGCTTGTAGCAGACAACAGCAGTTGTCCAGTACATAGTGCAAATGGACTAAAAAGGTAGTATACAACCCCCTTGGTGCCAAGAAACAGAGTAACTGTGTACACAACTGATCACACTGTCCTTGAGCATCCAACTCAATGAACATTTCACCCCAGATTCCTTAGCCCCTTCAATACCTGTATAAGTCTAATTCCTTTCCCAGTTAGTAGCTCTCTCTCTTTCCGAGTGTTAGCCCATCCATTCTCGGATGAAATCTCTCCCAGCTAGCTGCCACTATCTCTCTCCCAACGTCAGCCATCCGCACACACACGTGATAAACTTAGCTTTTCCCAGCTAGCTGCTAGAATATCCTGATTTCAGTCTCTGTTCACCAGAATAAACTTTCCTTTCAAAAGGCAATTTTTGACAAGTGGATTCTTTATGACTTATATCAGTCAAATCAGATGTACTAATTAACATTAAACTAGAATTATTTTTATTTCATTATATCAATTTCCAATAGCTTGAAATAAAAATTTCTAAGGTCTTAGTTGAACTGTATGTTATTTTCTTTTAAAATGTCCCTTTTTTCTTTAAAATAATTTCGGAACCACTCTATGTGTTCAACCTTCTGTTTAACACTCAGATATGGGTTTTTGGAAAGACCGCAAGTCACCAAATCCATGAAGTGGCGAATTGGTCCTTGTTTTGGAAAATCCTCCAGGTATTTATCCAGAAATATATGTTCATGAAATTCAGAACCATCATCATCAAGACCTAGAAAATAAGACAAAAATTATAATTTTGATTATAAAGCCTATATCATAAAATTAACAGTAATGAGGTAATATTGCTAAAGGCATGAATTTTGGAGTTAGACCTAGGCTTGCCCACCAACTTAACAAGTGACTTTGGACAAATTTCTTAACCTCTTTGAGCTCAGTTTCCTCAGGCATAATATAAGGATTAAAAGACTACCTTCCTGTGGTTTCAATAAGGATTAAACAGACAGTGCCTAGAGGAAGTGTTCAGTGTGGGCAACTACTAAGAAAACTATACAAACTGTATTTTAAAATATGTAAATAAGACAAGATGGAATCATGAAAATAAAGTGTATGCAGTTTTCAAAAAAAAAGCAAAATTAGGGCCAGGGATGTAGCTCAATGGTACCACTCCTGCCTGCCAAGCAATAAGGTCCTGAGTTTGATCCCCAGTGGGGGTGGCAGGTGGGAAGCAAAGACAAGACAAAGAAATGAGAAATGGAAAAAATGAACAGAAAACAAATAGGAGAGACTGAAATTCTAACAAATCAATAGTTACTGTAAATACAAATGGTCTAACTACACCAAAAGACAGGGATTGGCACAGTGGTTTAAAATACAGTGGTACCTTGGTTCAGGAACTTATTTTTTTCCACCATTTTGGTCACAAACCGAATTGGATGAATCAAATTTCTCCATAAAATCAATTTTGAACCTAACTATTGAATTTGATTTGGCAGTTTGTGACCAGAATAGTAAAAATAAGTAGGTTCATGAACCAAGGTACTATTTACTGTATAATCCAAGGATATGGTGTCCAACAAAAACTTTATTTAAACATAAGTGGATTAAAAGTAAAAAAGATAGAAAAGTATTTATCTCAGTAACATTAATTTTTTTAATTAAGTTTACTGGTACATTTTAGGTATACAGTACAGTTACATTCATCATTGGGATCTTGTACCTCTACATGACAGGTCTTGGTTCTCATTTTCCCCTTTTCTATCCAAGGATATGGTGTCCAACAAAAACTTTATTTAAACATAAGTGGATTAAAAGTAAAAAAGATAGAAAAGTATTTATCTCAGTAACATTAATTTTTTTAATTAAGTTTACTGGTACATTTTAGGTATACAGTACAGTTACATTCATCATTGGGATCTTGTACCTCTACATGACAGGTCTTGGTTCTCATTTTTTCCCCTTTTCCCTGCCCTCCCTTCACACCCTCCTCCCCTCCCCATTTACCAACACTTTATTTCCATTTTAACATTAATTAAAAAAAAATTAGTGACAATACAAATATTAGATAAAGTAGTATTTCAAAGCAAAGACAAGTTACAGGAAGAAAGAGAAAAATAAAGGATCAATCAACTAAGAAGACATAGCAATCCTAATTCCATTTCTAAATAAATGAAAGAGGCGGGGGTGGTGGTAGTGTGTGCCTATAATTCCAGCACTGGGGAGGCTGAAGCAAGAGGATCACCAAGAGTTTGAGGCGAGCCTGAAGTACATAGTGAGACCCTGTCTCAATCCCTCCCCACAAATGAATGAATGAATGAAAGAAAAACTAATGAAGTAGAAAAATTCAAAATTATAGTTGGAGATTTCAACATCATACTGTAAGCAATTGATAGAACTACTAGGATAACAAACTACCAGACACAAACTGAACACCAACCAATAGGATCTTTTTTTTTTTTTTTTCTTTTTGAGACAGGGTCTCACTATGTAGTTCAGGCTGGCCCTAAACTCACAGTAATCCTCCTGCCTCAGACGCTCAAGTGCTAGGATTACAGGTGTGCGTTACCACACCTGGCAACAAGATCAAATTGACATCTATCAAACACTGTGAAACTGCAGGACACAAATTCCTACTACACCCAAGGAACATTTACCTAGCAAGGTATCATGAAACAAACTTCAATATATTCATTCATTCATTGTACTGCTGGGGATCAAATACAGAGCCTTGAGCAAACAAGTCAAACACATTTTTAAAAACTGAAACAGGGGCCAGGGATTTGGCTCAGTGATTCCACCACCTGCCTTGAAAGAGCAACGTCCCAAGTTCAATCCCCAGTAACCCAAAACAAAACAAAACAACCCCTCCACCAAAAAAAACTGAAACAAAGCCAGGCGTCATAGCACATGCCTGTAATTCCAGCACTGAGGAGGCTGAGGCAGGAGGATTGCCATAAGTTCCAGGCCAGCCTAGGTTACATAGTGAATTCAAAGCCAGCCTGGAATCCATAGCAAGATCCTGTCTCAAAAACAAAGACAAAAAATTTAAAAATTAAAAAACCCTGAAATAATATACAATATGTTCTCAAAATAAAATGGAATTAAACTGAAAATTAGTAAAAGAAAGACAACAGGCCAGGTGTGGTGTCTCATTCCTGTAATCCCAGCACTCCACAGGCAGAGGCAGGAGGACTGCTGTGAATTTGAGGCTAGCCTAAACTACATAGTGAGACTCTGTCTCAAGAAAAAAAGATGGGCCGGGGATTTAGCTCAGCAGTTTGGTGGCCTGCCTCGCAAGCGAAGGGACCCAAGTTCAATCCCCGGTACCAAAAAACAAAACCAAAAAACAAACAAACCAAAAGAGACAACAGGAAAATCTCCAAACACTTGAAAATTAAGCACACTTAAAAGCAACCCATAGCTCAAAGAAGAAATTTCAAAGGAAATTGTAAAAATACATAGAACTGAATGAAAATGAAAGTACAAAAAAAATTTCAAAATTTGTGGGACATTGGCTAGTGGAGGGATATAGCACTAAAGCATACTAAAGGAAAGGTCTCATATAGGTAATCTAAACCTTAGTTTGTTATATAATGGAAAAATATAATACTAGGAAGTAAACTGTAAACACAGAACACAGCATTTTCAGTATTGTGATCCCAAAGGGACACACTGAGCCACTAAAAAACAAAAATCTTTCCCCAACAGCATCAAAGTAAATCTTCATGAAGCTAATTAATTATTAGTAGGGAAAGCATGACAGTTCATTAATCATAAAATTTAAATGAGAAATACAAAAGAAAGGTAACAAACTATTCAGGTTCCAGGTTACATATTTGTATAATGTCAATTTCAAACTATTCAGAAATTTCTAAATGTGTGTTGAGAGGAATGATAAAAGTGAGTTTCCATGGCTTCTTTCCTGTTTTTTCTTCAGATAACAATTGTCTCACAGAGCTGAAAACCAGATATCTCCTTTTCCAACACTGACCTATCAATAACACGTACAGTGTATAAGGACGCTTATCACATTTATCTCTCCAGTCTGACTAAAAAATATGTATCTCTCCCCTTTCAAGGAAGCTTTCTCAAAAATCACGTCAAATTAAAGAAAAATTCATTTGGAGTTTGGACACTGACAAGTTTGATGGATTTAAATGCTATACTGTTGATACAATGCACCACCAATTCATGGCTTTCCACCATCCTATTGGTGGTTCCTAGCCAATACCTGATACCTTTACTGATATTTGAAGATTTAAAAACATTATACTATAAAGAAAAAAGCTTTAAATGTTCAGTATAGAAATTACAGTAGCAAATTCTCTCACAATACAGTAAGTTCCCATGAGTATTCGAGAACTTTCATAGGTGTACCGTGTAACACTCACTTTGCTGGATACAAATGAATCCAACTTAAAAACATTCTCTCAGAACAGAACTGGTTCTTAGGTTGGGGTACAGCAATAACAGATGAGAATGCTGCTTTACACGTATAACCTAACTTGTTCCTCAGAAGAATCCTGTAATGTAAGTCCTGATAATAAGTTCTCATCATTTCAGAGATTAAATTTATGACTCACTTAGGAACTTCAACTTCTAAGCACCATGTTTCCCATCTCTCCTAAAAAAGTCACTTGTTATTCCTCAATACTGGGTTTTTAACTCCTGCGTACTTTAAAGCACACAGGTTTCATCAAACAATGAAATTAAAAGATGTTTTAACAGTAAATGAAGTATTTTCATGACACTACACATTGTATTTTCTTAGCTTTTTGATCCTTTAAAAATTCTATGGTCCTAAAAAAAAGATGAAAGGAACTAACATCTATTTAGTATATATGCTAGGAACTATGTAGAGCAATTCAGAAACTTTTCTAACTTCTCACATCCTCCTAATGATATTTCAATTTTGCAGATGAGAACCTGAAGCTCAGAAGGTGAAATAATGTCCCCAAAGGTAGATGACTAATAAATGATGCCTGAGATTGGCACTGAGATATGCACAACTAAGAAGTCTTTGGAAGTATGGTGGTACCAGCCTGTAATCACAGCACTTGAGGCTGAGGCACGAGGATCATGCTGAGTTCAAGGCCAGCATGGGCTACATAGTGAGTTCAAGACCAACCTAAACTACAAAGCAAGACCCTGTCTCACAAAAAAACCAAAACAAAACAAAACAAAAACTCTCTTTGGAGTCACATGTGGTGGACTCTGCATGTAATTCCAGTACTCTGGGAGGCTGAGGCAGGAAGACTGCAAGTGTAAACTCAGCCTAGACAACTCAGAGACTATCTCAAAAACAAAGAAAGAAAGGCTGGGGATATAGCTCACTTCAAAAGCCCTGGATTCAATCCCAAATACTGAAAAGAAAAGAAAAAACAAGACCATTCTTTTTATCTTATCCTGATACCTCTCAGAATATACAAATCATAATTTTTTTTTTTTTTTTTTTTTTTTTTTTTTTTTGGTTGAGAGAGGGTCTCACTATGTAGCCCAGGTTGGTCTTGAACCTACAGCAATCCTCCTGCCTCAGCCTCCCAAGTGCTGGGATTATAGGAGTTCACCACCACACCCAGATGTTTTTTGGTTTGTTTTTTTTTTTTTTTGAGACAGGGTCTCACTATATAGTTTAGGCTGGCCTTGAATTTACTAATACAGTCCAGGATGGACTCAAATCATGAGATCCTCCTGCTTCAGCCTCCCAAGTGCTGGGATTGCAGGTATGCACCACCACGCCCAGTGACAAACCATAATACTTGGAGAAATATATTTAGTGGGGCTTGGTGACACAAGGCTATAATCCAAGTATTCTGGGAGGTAAGACAGGAAGATCACCATTCAAGCCCTGCCTGGACAATTTAACAAGAACCGTCTCAAAATAAAAAAAATATTGCCAGGTGTGGTGGCGTGCATCTGCAATCCCAGCACAGGGAGGCTGAGGCATGAAGATCACTGTGAGTCTGAGGCTAGCTTGGGCTACATAGTGAGTACAAAGCCAGTCTGAACTACATAGTAAGACCCTGTCTCAAAAAAAACAAAAACAAAAACAAAAATAAATTAATAAAATAGGACTGGGTAGCTTAGTGTAAAGGTCTAGGGCTCAATCTCTAGTACCACCAAAAAAAAAAAAAAAAAAAAAAGAAGTGAAAAACAGCAGGCTATGTTACTATGTTACTATGTTACACCATATAAACATATAAATATCCAAAATAAGAATTTGTAGGTTTCTATAGTTTTCCTATAAAAAGTTAATACTTTATGAAAATATAATACTAAATGTTTTTGATAATTAAGATTTCATTTCATTTATTAACCCAAATAAAAGGTTACCAAAAGAGTTACCAAAAATTTTAAAAATCACAATACTATATAACCCCATGAAGGTTAAAATATGGATTACATTTCCTAAGTCTTACATTGTAGCTATTCTTACCATAAAGGTAAATAAATCTATTCTAATTGAAAATGCACCTAGAAAATTTAATGAGAATGTTTAACTTATGACAACACAGGTGCCATGAAAGAATAAATAGCATCGTAATACTGTTTTCCTTCTGGTTAAGAAGTTCAGAAAATGTTGAGGAAGATACTCAAAGTATCTTCATTGTGCAGCCAAAGGTTTCCAAAGCTTCCTAATATGTTGCTCTGAGCACCATTTACAAGTATCTTACACTTGATTAATACAGTGGTTTGATGAACAAAAGACATCAGCCTAAGGCCGGAAAGTGGTGATGGGGGCTGGCGTATAGTTCAGTACAGTACTTGCCTGGTGGTGTAAGACCTTGGGTTTAATCTCCAGCACAGAAAGAAGTAAAAGAAAGATTGGGTGGGGGGTGTAAAAGCTGTAATGTTTTCCAAAGCTGAACTATAATCTCATAGCCAGTATTTAACGCATTAGAAGATAGATTGGCCAGGGAGGTCAGCAGTGGTGATGGGGGCTGGCGTATAGTTCAGTACAGTACTTGCCTGGTGGTGTAAGACCTTGGGTTTAATCTCCAGCACAGAAAGAAGTAAAAGAAAGATTGGGTGGGGGGTGTAAAAGCTGTAATGTTTTCCAAAGCTGAACTATAATCTCATAGCCAGTATTTAACGCATTAGAAGATAGATTGGCCAGGGAGGTCAGCAGTATATCACCTGCCTGGCAATTACAAGGCCCCGAGTTTGATTCCTCATACAAAAAAAAAAAAAA